TAAAGAAGTTCTTTGAAACCAACGAGAACAAAGACACAACATGCCAGAATCTCTGGGACACATTTAAAGCAGTCTCTAGAGGAAAGTATATAGCAATAAGTGCCCATATGAGAAGAATGGAGAGATCCAAAATTGACACCCTATCATCAAAATTGAAAGAGCTAGAGGAGCAAGATCAAAAAAACTCAAAACGCAGCAGAAGACAAGAAATAACTAAGATCAGAGCTGAACTGAAGGAGATTGAGACACGAAAAACCCTCCAAAAAAATCAATAAATCCAAGAGCTGGTTTTTTGAAAAGATCAACAAAATAGACAGACCACTAGCTAGATTGATTAAAAAGAAAAGAGAGAACAACCAAATAGATGCAATAAAAAATGATAAAGGGGAAATCACCACAGATTCCACAGAAATTCAAACCATCATAAGAGAATATTACAAACAACTCTACGCACATAAGCTAGAAACCTGGAAGAAATGGATAAATTCCTGGACTCCTGTGTCCTCCCAAGCCTAAACCAGCAGGAAGCTGAAACTATGAATAGACCAATAACAAGGGCAGAAGTCGAGGCAGCAATTAAGAGCCTACCACACAAAAAAAGCCCAGGTCCAGACGGGTTCACAGCCGAATTCTACCAGACACACAAAGAGGAGCTGGTACCATTCCTTCTGAAACTATTCCAAATAATCCAGAAAGAAGGAATCCTTCCCAAATCATTCTATGAGACCAATATCATCCTGATACCAAAACCCAGCAGAGACCCAACAAGAAAAGAAAACTTCAGGCCAATATCCATGATGAACATGGATGCAAAAATCTTCAATAAAATATTGGCAAGCCGATTGCAACAGCAAATCAAGAAACTTATCCATCATGATCAAGTAGGATTCATCCCGGGGATGCAAGGCTGGTTCAACATACGCAAGTCTATAAACATAATTCACCACATAAACAGAACCATAAACCAAAACCACATGATTATCTCAATTGACGCAGAGAAGGCATTTGACAAAATTCAACAGCCCTTTATGCTAAAAACCCTCAATAAACTCGGTATTGATGGAACATATCTCAAAGTAATAAAAGCTATTTATGACAAACCAACAGCCAATATCATACTGAATGGGCAAAAACTGGAAGCATTCCCTTTGAAATCTGGCACTAGACAAGGATGCCCTCTTTCACCACTCCTATTCAATATAGTACTGGAAGTTCTAGCCATAGCAATCAGGCAAGAAAAAGAAATAAAGGGTATTCAAATAGGAAAGGAGGAAGCCAAATTGTCTCTATTTGCAGACGACATGATAGTATACCTAGAAGACCCCATCGCCTCAGCACAAGAACTCCTGAAACTGATAAGCAACTTCAGCAAAGTCTCAGGATATAAAATCAATGTGCAAAAATCACAAGCCTTCCTCTACACCAATAACAGACTTAAAGAAAGCCAAATCAAGAACGAACTGCCATTCACAATTGCTACAAAAAGAATAAAATACCTTGGAATACAACTCACAAGGAACGTAAGGGACCTCTTCAGGGAAAACTACAAACCACTGCTCAACGAAGTCAGAGAGGACACAAACAGATGGAGAAACATTCCATGTTCATGGTTAGGAAGAATTAATATTGTGAAAATGGCTATACTGCCCAAAGTAATTTACAGAATCAATGCTATACCCATCAAGCTACCATCGACTTTCTTCACAGAACTGGAGAAAACCACCATGAACTTCATATGGAACCAAAAGAGAGCCCGCATAGCCAAGTGAATTCTAAGCAAAAAGAACACAGTGGGGGGCATCACACTACCGGATTTCAAACTATACTACAAGGCTACAGTAATCAAAACAGCATGGTACTGGTACCAAAACAGAGATATAGACCAATGGAACAGAACAGAGGCAACAGACGCAACACAACATATCTACAACCACACAATCTTTGATAAACCTGTCAAAAACAAGCAATGGGGAAAGGATTCCCTGTTCAACAAATGGTGTTGGGAAAACTGGCTAGCCATGTGCAGAAAGCAGAAACTGGACCCCTTCCTGACACCTTACACTAAAATTAACTCCAGATGGATTAAAGACTTAAACATAAGACCCGGCACCATAAAAACCCTAGAAGGAAATCTAGGCAAAACTATCCAGGACATAGGAGTAGGCAAGGACTTCATGAACAAAGCACCAAAAGCATTGGCAACAAAAGCCAAAATAGACAAATGGGACCTAATGAAACTCCACAGTTTCTGCACGGCAAAAGAACCAGTCACTAGAGTGAATTGGCAACCAACAGAATGGGAAAAAATGTTTGCAGTTTACCCATCTGACAAAGGGCTGATATCCAGAATTTACAAAGAACTCAAACAGATTTACAGGAAAAAAACAAACAAGCCCATTCAAAAGTGGGCAAAGGATATGAACAGACACTTTACGAAAGAAGACATATATGAGGCCAACAATCATATGAAAAAATGCTCATCGTCACTGGTCATCAGAGAGATGCAAATCAAAACCACATTGAGATACCATCTCACGCCAGTTAGAATGGCGATCATTAAAAAATCTGGAGACAACAGATGCTGGAGAGGATGTGGAGAAAAAGGAACACTTTTACACTGTTGGTGGGAGTGTAAATTAGTTCAACCACTGTTGAGTCAGTGTGGCAATTCCTCAAGGCCTTAGAAATAGAAATTCCATTTGACCCAGCAATCCCATTACTGGGTATATATCCAAAAGGCTATAAGTCCTTCTACTATAAGGACACATGTACATGAATGTTCATTGCAGCACTGTTTACAATAGCAAAGACTTGGAATCAACCCAAATGCCCATTGATGATAGACTGGATTGGAAAAATGTGGCACATATACACCATTGAATATTATGCAGCAATCAGAAATGATGAGTTTGTGTCATTTGTAGGGACATGGATGAATCTGGAGAACATCATCCTCAGCAAACTGACACAAGAACAGAAAGCGAAACACCGCATATTCTCACTCATAGGTGGGTGATGAAAAATGAGAATGCATGGACACAGAGAGAAGAGTACTAAACACTGGGGTCTATTGGGGGGAAATGGGGAGGGCCAGTGGGAGGGGGAGGTGGGGAGGGATAGCCTGGGGAGAAATGCCAAATGTGGGTGAAGGGGAGAAAGAAAGCAAAACACACTGCCATGTGTGTACCTATGCAACTGTCTTGCATGTTCTGCACATGTACCCCCAAACCTAAAATTCAATAAAAAAAAAAAAATAGAGCTCAAGCCTCCTTTGACAGTCACACTCAGTCCTGGTTCCCTCTTGCCCCAGCAGATCAGAGCCGCCTTCATCATGCAAGTCCTTGCAGGCTTCTTACACTTCACAGTCATGTGTGCGTGATCACGGACCACTCAGCACTGTACTCTGTGTGTGTGTGTGTGATCACGGACCACTCAGCACTGTACTCTGTGTGTTTGTGTGTGCGTGATCGCGGACCACTCAGCACTGTACTCTGTGTGTGCACGTACGTTGTTTGGTTTTGGTTTTGTTTTACTAAAAGGCATCGTCACGCTATAAGGCTCCTGCTATAAACTACTTCCATTCACTCAGTGTCTGTCCTGAAAGCTTCTATATCTGTCTCATTGTTTTAACTGTGGTGTAGACTCCTGGCTCTGATGTGTGCATCCTGCATATTCAGGCATCCTCTGCTGCATGGAGTTTTACATTGTTTCCCATTTCTCACTGTCATTAAGAGACTCACTGAGGAGAATTATGTCTGAGGGGTGGGTTATGTCTGTGTTCTACATTTAACTGATTCTGGCCGGTTGCCCTCCAGAAGGCTGCTGCCAGCTCCCTCCTCCAGCAGAATATTGGTTCATGTTTCCGTAAATCACCCCCTGCCCTCAATGTTACCAACTTTAAAACTTTCCAACCTGATGTGTGAAAGTTACTTTTTCATTGTTCAGTTGTGTTTTCCTGAATTTGGGGAGACTGGGCATTTTCTGTGTTTGTGGACTGTCTGCATCCCCTCTCCTGCTCTGTGCACCATCCCCCTGCTCCAGCTGCTTCCTGGAGCCTCCCTCCTTCCTCTCCACCTGCCCGCTTCCTCCTCATCCTTCAGTTTCTTCCTAAGGGCCCATAGGCCTTATTTGGCTTTTACGTTCCTCTCACTCTGCCATTGGCAGCTGCTGGGCTTCCCATCCCCTGGGAGGTTTCAGAGGATCGGGAAGACACAGGAGAAAAGTTGCCATGTGGTGTAATACAGGCCATAGTGTTCATCGTCCACAGCCTTTGTTGAGGACTTACTATGTGCCAAGAACCTCCTCTAAGAACGTAACTGTGCTCCCTCACTTCATGCTCATAACCACCTGTGAGAGGGGCAATGTTTCTCATCCCCTTTTCCACAGAGAATATGGAGGCACAGAGGAGTCAAGACTGCGACAGAGTCAAGATTCAAACCCAGGCTGTCTGGCTCTGGGTTCAACCTCTCCAGTGCTCGGCTAGGTGTTGGACAGGGCCAAGGAGACACAGAGAATGAACACCACCTGACTTGGGCTGGGTCAGGGACAGCTTCCCGTAGGAAGTGACAACTCAACAGAGCGTTGAAGAGGACCAGGAGGAGCTGACCAGGCAATGAATAGAATAAGTATGTCCAAGAAAAGGGAAGGGCCTCCTCAGTGATGCTGGGAGGCTGGAGAGCTGGCCTGGCCCAGGGTGTGTGCCAGCAGGGCAGGAGATCGAGCCTAAGGGGTGGCCAGGGTCAGATCTAGAAGAGGCTGGGCCATTCCATAGTCAATACCTCATCCCAAGGCCAGGCAGGCCTTCCACTGCTCGGCATGCAACCACTGGGATGCCAGGAGACTAAGCCACTGCCACCCACCTGGGTTCCTGAGACCCAGTGCACAGGCACGGGGACAGGAGTGGGTGTGGCTGATTTACATCCAACAGGTTGAGGGGAAATCCCAGGAAGTACAGCCCAGGCACTAATCAAATCTAAGACTAATAATAAGCATCTTGAGTAATGAGTGGCCTGGGCCGGAGCAGGCGAGGTGGCTGGAGCCCGGCAGACCTGGAGGAGCAGTGTGAGTAGCCAGGCAGGACGGCAGGAGGGCAGGTGGGAGGAGGGTTGGGCTTGAGGGCTGGTGGAGATTGGCAGGGTCCAGTGGGTGCAGGGCCCCCAGCAGATCCACACACTGGGGCAGTCCCAGCCTCCTCAAGCCCCTGCACATGGAGAGCCCCGAATCTGAATGCCTCCGGGGTGTGGGGCTTGCCTTCTGGGAGAGAAGCCACCAAGGCTGCAGGGTTGGCCACACCAGCAGAAATCCCCTTTGTCACCATGCCCCCCTCACAGCCCCCATTTTCCCCTTACATCCCCTCTGGACTGTTTTAATGCTAATCTCAAGTATCACATTGTTTGAGTTGCAGAGATAGCAGGATTTATTCCCTAAGAACACAAACTCTAACAACAAAACAAAACCAAAAACGAAGCATCATACCCTCACCCCTGCTAAAATACAATTCCCAAACAGCATCGCACAGCCTGCCAGGGTTCAGACTGTCCTGGCTGCCTCATCAATGTCTGTCTCAGTTGATTTGTTCAAATCAGGATCCCAGCCTGGCGCACGTTAGACTTTTGGCTACATTTTAATATATAACAGTTTCCACCCATTTTTTTCTTGGTTATTTATTTGTTGAAGAAACTAGACTATTTATCCTACAGTTTTTTGTTTGGTTGTTTTTTGTGAGACAGGCTCCCTCTATTACCAATGGTGCAATCTCGGCTTGCTGCAACCTCCACCTCCAGGGTTTAAGTCATTCTCCTTTCTCAGCCTTCCAAGTAGCTGGGATTACAGATGCCCTCCATGCTTGGCTAATTTTTTCTATTTTTAGTAGAGATGAGGTTTCACCATTTTGGCCAGGCTGATCTCAAACTCCTGAACTCAGGGGATCTATCTGCCTCGGCCTCCCAAAGTGCTGGGATTATAGGTGTGAGCCACCACACCCAGTCCCTATAGTATTTAATCAGGGTGGGTTTCTAAGTTTTTATGAAAGGGCCCCAGGTCCTCACCGTGCAGTCAGAATCCAAGGCTGGGTGGACCCGGGGCAAAGCCTGGAGTCACAGCCTCTCCCCGATGCTCTGTCCCACACCCCAGGCAGGGAGCGAATCTGTTCTCTGATCATCTTTTGTGTCCAGTGACCATGTCCCCAGAATCCTCAGCCAGGGGCTCAAATACATCAAGTTTCTAAGAGAGTTGGACAAGGCAGTGACCAGAGGATGCCTCAACACAGGGTGAAATTGCCCAGTGCTCTGGGACCACGAGTGGGGACCCAGCCAGAACTGTGACCTGGTGCTGGCAGAGGCTGCCTGGTACTGCCAAATCAGCCCTGGCCAGTTGTTCACTGACCCACTCTGGGACGTTGGCTAAGCCATTTTCCCTCAGCTGTAAAATGGAGAAGATGATCTTTCCTATTGGATATCCCTCAAAAACACAAAAGTGCTTCGATGAACCTGCCAGACCCCCTATTGGAGAGTCACGAGGAAAGGCTCTGAGAAGGTCTGCAGTTAACCAAAAAAATGCCTTGACTTTCTTTAACCCAGCATTTTTCAAGCTAAGTTGACCACAGAGATCTTTCTTGGTGCAACACGCCTGTTAACCCCCCAAGCACGTGAGGAGATACAAGCAGAGGGCTCTGAGAATCACCCTCCTTGGCTGCTCTCTGGTCTCAGGGTGCATTGGAGAGCCTCTATCCCACATCTGAGTCTGCAGCAGACCGGGGTGTGAGCCCAGCCCGCAGAGCTAGTGTCAGAGTGGAGTTCTGCTTCTTCCATTTCCGTCAACGGAGCTTCCCTCTCAGGTTTCTATTCTGCCTGGCTGGTGTCAGTCTTGGGGTTTTTCTGCCCTCCTTTGACACTTGATGTTGGTTCTGGGATTTTAGTAGGTCCACATGGTGTAGAGGAAGGCCTTCAGGCCATCTGGTCAATTGGGCACTGTCTTTCCATCAGGTCCAGTGGCTTTGGTGGCTTCCAGGAAATGAATGGATCTTGGAACCTCACCAAGGCTGCCCTTGTCACATAGAGCCTGCTGCCCACCTTCCATTCAGCCAGCTCTTCACAGTGATATGCAGTGGGTGCTGGCTTTCTCCCTCTCTGCTCCCCCACCCAAAAGCAGGGAGAATCAGGGGTCTGTCTTTAATTTTGTTTGATCATTTGATTTTAGATCTGCTTTTGAATAGATAGAGTAGTCAGATGGTTTGAAACCCGGAAAGTATTGAAAGATTTATAACAGAAAGTCTTTCTCCCTCCTTGTCCTCCATCTGCCCAGGTCCTGCCTCCCCTAGAATAAGCAGTTTTGTTTAGATATAAGTTATATGCCTTGAAATTCACCTGTGTCAAGTGTATTTAGTATATTTGCACAGCAGAGTTGTGCGACCATCACCATAAGCTAGTTTTAGGACATTTTGAGAAAGCCAAAAGAAAGTTTGTCAGTCTTCACTCCTCCCCAGCCCCAGGCTACCGCTAAACTACTCTGCCCCTCTAGATTTGCCTATTTTTGACATATTCCGTAAATTGAATCACATATGGTGTATTGTGACTGGCTTCTTCCAGTTGGCATAATGTTTTCATCCATGCTGCAGCATGTGTCAGTATTTCCTTCGTTTTTGTAGCTAAATAACATTCTTTTTTTTTTTTTTTTGAGACAGAATCTCGCTTTTGTTACCCAGACTGGAGTGCAATGGTATGATCTTGGCTCACCACAACCTCTGCCTCCTGGGTTCAAGCGATTCTCCTCCCTCAGCCTCCCGAATAGCTAGGATTATAGGCATGTACAACCTTTCCGGCTAATTTTATATTTTCAGCAGAGACAGGGTTTCTCCATATTGGTCAAGCTGGTCTTGAACTCCCAACCTCAGGTGATCTGCCTGCCTGAGCCTCCCAAAGTGCTGGGATTACAGGTGTGAGCCACTGCGCCCAGCCAATAACATTCCGTTTTATGGATCTATCGCATGTGATTTATCCAATCAGCAGTGAATGGACATTTGTGTTGTTTCTACTTTTTGGCCACTCTGATTCTTAATAACACTTCCATGAACTTTTAGGTTCAAGTTTTGGATGGACATGTTTTCATTTCTTTTGAGTAGATGGATACCTCTAAGTGGAATTGCTGAGTCATATGATACATGTTATGTTTAACATTGTAAGGAACTGCCAAACTGCTTTCCAAAGTGGCTGCACTATTTTAAAATTCATTTCACGCACGAGGGTTCCGATTTCTCCATGTCCTCAATGACACTTGTCATTGACTGTCTTTCTCATTCTAGCCATCTCAGGGGGTGTGAGGTGGTATCTCAGTGTGGTTGGATTTGCATTTCCCTAATGACAAATGATGTTGAGCATCTTTTCATGTGCTTGTTGGCTATTTATGTCTTCTTTCAGGAAGAGGCCTAGTGAAATCTTTAGGCTGTATAAAAATTGGATTATTTGTCTTCTTTCATTATTCTAAGCATTCTTTATATGTTCTGGATACAAGCTTCTTATCAGTTATAAGATTTGTAAATATTTTCTCAAAGTTTGTGGAAAGTTTTTTTTTTTTTACTTTCTTCCTGTTCTTTGGAACACAAAAGTTTTTCATTTTAAGTCCAATTTTGATCAATCTTCTCTTCTATCACATGCACACTTGGTGTCATTGCCTATCCCCAAATCATGAAGATTTACTTCTGTGTTTTCTTCTATGAGTGCTATGGCTTTAGCTCTTACATGTGAGTCTGTGATCTACTTTCAGTTAATGTTTGTGCGTACTGTGAGATAGGGGTCCAAATTCATTCTTTTCTATATATTCATTTCTATATATTCATTCTTTTCTATTCATTCTGAATAGCCATTTGACCCAGCACCATTTGTTGAAAAGACTATTCTTTCTCCCATTGAATTGTTGGGTACCCTTGTTGAAAATCCATTGATCATAACTGCTGGGCTTTATTTTTGGACTCTCAATTATATTTCACTGATCTATGTCTATCCTGATGCCAGCACCACCCTGTCTTAGTTACCACTGCCTTGCAATAAGTTTTGATGTAGGAACCTCCTGAGTCTTCCATCTGTGTTTTCTTTTCTTCCTTTAGTTCATGAGCATGGGCTGTCTTTCCATTTATTTAAATCTTTCATTTCCTTGAACAATTTTTTTTAGTTTTTATGTATGTCTTGCACTCCTTTTATTAAATTTCTTCTTAAATATTTTCTTTAAAATAGTGTCATTGGTTTCTTATTTTCTAATGGGATTTCTTTATGCATATATGACCATTTACAAATATAGATTAGAACTTCCCCCTTTTTTTGAAAATAACCTTAAAAACAAAAACTGAGCCCATGAGCCATGCTATTTTGTTTTTATTTTTGTATTTTAGTTAATATGTCTTGCTGTTCTTTTCATAGCAACACACAGAGAGCTTCCTCATTCCTTGTGTTGATAGCTACGTAATAATCTAATATATAAATGTACTGTAACTTAGTCAATTCCCTGCTGATGAATGTTGGGTTACTTTTAATCTTCTGCTATTACAAATGTTGCTGCAATTGGCCAGGCATGGTGGCTCATGCCTGTAATCCCAGCACTTTGGGAGGCTGAGGCAGCCAGATCACCTGAGGTCAGGAGTTTGAGACCAGCCTGGCCAACATGGTGAAACCCCTTCTCTACTAAAAATACAAAAATTCGTCAGGCATGATGGTAGGTGCCTGTAATCCCAGCTACTCAGGGGGCTGAGGCAGGAGAATTGCTTCAACCCAGGTGGCGGCAGTTCCAGTGAGCCGATATCATGCCACTGCACTCCAGCCTGGGCAACAGAAAGAGACTCCATAACAAAAAAAAAAAAAAAAAAAAAAATGGAAGAAGGAAAAAAGAAAAATTACAAAAAACTGTTGCTGCAATAAATTTATCATTTCACACTTCAGGATACATTTCAAAGTTTAATCATTGGGTCAGTGGGTAAATCTATTTGTAATTTTGACAAATGTTGCCAAATTACCCTCTATGGGGCTTACTTCTATTTACTATCCATCCATAATGAATAAGAGTGCCACTGTCACCACTGCCTTGCCAATACAAGATATTATTAAACTTTTTGAGTTTTAACCATCTCAGGGTGAAAACAGTATCAGTGTAGTTTGAATTTGCCTGTCTCTTTAAATGAGATCAAGCATCCTTATGTTGTATTTCCCTGTCTGTGAACTGCCTATTCGTGCCCTTTGCCAGTTTTTCTCATGGGTAGCTGATCTTTATTTTTCTGTTTATTCTTTAGATCTGAGTTGTAAAGGTTTTGTGCCTGTTTCTCATATGTCTTTGGACTTGAGTGTTTGTTATAAAGAAGTTTTGGGGTTTTTTGTTGTTATTGTTCTTCTTGTTGTTTGTTTTGTTTTTTTGAGACAGAGTCTTGATCTGCCACCGAGGCTGGAGTGCAGTGATGCTATCTCAGATCACTGCAACTTCCCCATGCCGGGTTCAAGCGATTCTCCTGCCTCAGCCTCCTGAGTAGCTGGGACTACAGGTACACGCCACGATGTCAGGCTAATTTTTATATTTTTAGTAGAGATGAGATTTCACCATATTCATTAGGCTGGTCTCAAACTCCTGACCTCAGTGATCCACCTGCCTCAGCCTCTTAAACTGCTGGGATTACAGGTGTGAGCCACCATGTCCAGCCACAAAAAAGTTTTATTTGTTTGCTTGTTGTTTCGTGGATTCTATGTTATGCATCTTTTCTTTTATGGATTTTGGGTCATAGTTAGAAAGGCCTTTCACACTTTGATGATGTAAAAATTATCAAATGGTTTCTTCTCTATTAAATGTATGTATTTTTATTCCTTTCCCATTTAAGTATGTTATTGGGTTGCTTTTTGATCTCAGGGAAATTGCTTCCCGTGCTCATTTCTGGCTCAGTCACTTTGTACCAGGAATCCTTTCTCCAAGGTGTCGAAAGCAAGAGCCAGGACTTTCCCCCTTCCCCACCAGGGCACCTCTCCCTGCATCCTCCCTGGGTGGAGATGCAGGCAGGGAAGGAGCTGCTCAGGAAACTCAATATGATTCCTGCCCAGCTGTCCATCAACACAGTGCAGGAATGCGGCTTGCTTTTCCTTCCACAAGTCTTTACTGAGGACAACTATGTACAAGGAATCCAGTCACTGAAAAGCATGTATCCAGCACATGCTGTGTGCCTGCTGTCATGGAAGGCACTGGATGCAGAGACGAATAAGACAGGAGGAGGTAGAATGGCTACACCCTGAAATGTCACATTACCAACAAGAAATGTCACTGAACAGGTGGTCCTAGGAGTTCAGGTTCTGGGGGTAGTTTACCCCCCAATCTCCTCACAGGGCACTAATTTTATGCTACTATCACTATTAGTGATTAACACTGGCTGGGCACAGGGACTCACACCTGTTGTCTTAGTTACTTGGGAGGCTGAGTGGGGAGAATTGCTTGAACCCGGGAGTTCAAGGCTGCAGTGAGCTATGACTACACTACTGTAATTTTGTAGGGACAGAGCAAAACCCTGTCTCTACAAAAGGAAATTTAATTATCACTAATGTTAAAATTATTTTATATTATTATAAAATGATAACTATTAGCCCATTATATTTTATACTATTTATAGCACAATAATAACTACTAGTAGGAGCAGCCATGTTTTGGGCTGTTATATGCTTGCTGTGTACACACCCTTGAGAAGATCTACAAAAGAGTCTAGAATCCCCATTTTACAGGAAAACTGAAGTTATGCACAGCCCAAGTTCTTCCCAAGATGACTCAGCCCTGCTTTCCCCACAATGGGCACTTCACTCCTGCACATGGTCACTGAACCATGGTGAATCCATTTTCAACATGAGCTGACAGGAGGTAAAAATTATGATGGGCATTTCATAAACAAAAACTGAGAAGGTAACTTGAACAGTTCTCCCGGGACCTAACTAAGTTCTTCTTCCTTTAGAACCAGCATGGGAGGCCGGGTGCAGTGGCTCACATCTGTAATCCCAGCACTTTGGGAGGCCAAGGTGGACGGATCACATGATGTCAGGAGTTTGAGACCAGCCTAGCCAACATGGCCAAACCCTGTCTCTAGTAAAAATACAAAAACTAGCCAGGTGTGGTGGTGCACACCTGTAATCACAGCTACTTGGGAAGCTGAGGCAGGAGAATCTCTTGAACCTGGGAGGCAGAGGTTGCAGTGAGCCAAGATCGCAACACTGCACTCCAGCCTGGGTGACAAAGCAAGACTCCATGTAGGAAAAAAAAAAAAAAGAAACAGATGGGGTTGGTTGACTCTCAATCCTGAAAATCTCTGAAGTTTCATTCTGCGTGGAAGTGGGAGTAGGCAGGGGGGGTGTTAGAACCATTTTCAGTATTTCAGAATAGCCTGGGGAAAAAACATACATAGCTCACAGAAACCAGAAGTCATCTTTCCCTCCTCCCGCTTCTTTCTCTTCCCTTCTATTTCCTGTCTTCCTCGTCTGTCTTCCTCTTTCACCCTTCTTCTCCTCTTCTGCCTCCTCCTCCTCCACATCCTACTTTTCCTCCTCCAGTTCCTCCTCCTCCTCCTTCCTGATTAGCAGAAGCCAGGTTGTAAGGTCACATTCCATTCCCATGCACGTCCCCCAGGTCTCAGCTGCAGCCTCATCCAGGCACACCCCTGTCTCTGCACACTGGAATCTTCTCCTGCCCTCACCCCACTGGTGAGCTCAGATCAGTGCCCAGCCCAAGTTTACACTCAGTGTTTGCTTGAATGATTGAATGAGAAATTCCTTCTATTACAAACCTACTGTTCCTCCTCTTCCAGTCACATCTACAGGTTTCCTTGGTGTGACTGCAAAGGGCAAGAATGAGAAGTCGACCTCTCCCCACAGCCCTGCTCCTTTACTCCTGCAAAGACCCCTCCCCACCAAGGAGGAAAAGAAGGAGTTGGCTCAGGCCAACAGTAATTGGCCCCTAAAAATTTTTTTTTCTCCATTCAGGTGTAGGTCTTGTCCAGCACAGCACTCCATATGGCAGGAAGTGCCAAATTAATAACGGCAGCAGCTCAGGGGGTTAAGCCTTTACTAATGTGCTCAGTACCACACTAGGTACCTGCCATGCATATGCTGCTCTCAATGACCCTGTGCATAAGCAACAGCTTCCACGTTTACAGGGGAGGATGCTGGCTCTCGAAGAGGGGAAGTAGTGCCCAGAGTTACACAGAAAGGAGTACCAGTCCTGTGATGCACACAGTCCAGAGTTCCCACACAGGACTGCCCTGTGGCTTTCCCCAGGTCATCCCCAAAGAGGCTCCTAACCGGTCCATTCCCCCTGCTGGTCCTTGGCTTGTCCATTTTAGATGCTCTGGATTGATTTTCCACTTTCTAAGGTAAGAACATAACTCTGACATCACTATCTGAATGCATGCAGCCTCCCCTCCCCAGCCCCCAGTGAAGGAGAAACATGTGGTCAGTTAGAGTCAAGATAGACACCTGCTGGCTGCCAGCTCTGTCCCAGAATGTCAACTCCTCTGCAGTTTTGCTCTCTTCTGTCTTCTTCCTCTCTCCTAGAAAGCCTGTTTTTGCCTTTGTTCTTTGACAATGGTCTAATGGCTCTCACAGTGAGTAAACTGTTTTACAGAAGGAATAATCCCACATCTCCACCTTACCCATTGACTCGGATGGCTCACTTATTTAAGACACTGTAAATATTCCCCACAGCTGAGCTATACAGGTCCTGTGATTACCTTTCTTTCCTTTCCTTTCCTTTTTTCTTTTTTTTTTTTTTGAGACAGTCTCACTCTGTGGCAAAGCCAGAGTGCAGTGGCAAGATCTTGGCTCACTGCAACCTCTGTCTCCTGGTTTCAAGCAATTCTCCTGTCTCAGCCTCTCAAGTAGCTGAGATTACAGGCATGCACCACTGCACCCAGCTAGTTTTTGTATTTTCAGTGAAGACAGGGTTTCACCATGTTGGCCAGGCTGGTCTCGAACTCCTGACCTCAAATGATCCACCTGCCTCAGTATCTCAAAGTGCTTGGATTACAGGCATGAGCCACCACACCTAGCCTACCTTTCTTTTCTTAGTGATGTGTTTTGTTTCCCTGGAGTTGATAACTCCTCTGTTTCCTATGCATGTAATTCATATCCAGCTCCGAGACAGATCCACCTTGTCAGTTGGTCAGACATTCTCACTTATCCAACACTTCTGTTTTCACCAGTGGCATTCCCCTCTCTTCCATCTTAGATGGGGTGGGGTACCCTCTAGACCTCCAAGCAGCTGTCACCTGGGACATCCTTCACCATCATGCTGAGAAGGTCCACCTTCCCTTCTCTGCTGTGAGAGGAGTCCTGTTCTTCACCACCCCTGGCTTTCTTTATTCACTTTCCAGATTCGATGGAGCACGTCCTCCAGTAGCTTTGAAGGCCATTCATGTCTGAGAGTCTTTATTCTCCCCCATACTTGATAGATAACAATGTTCTAGACTGAAAATCACTTTCTATCAATCATAAACTTTAAGGCACTCCTTCATTTTCTGCTTCCTTTCTGCTTTCTACTTCCACATTTTGCTGGTAAAATATATATAATGAAACTTTTACCATTTTAATCATTATGATGTGTTCAATTCAGTGGCATTATGTACATGCACAGGCACAACTATCTATACCCATAACTTTTTTTATAGACCCCGACAGAAATTCTGTACCCATTAATCAGTAACTCCTTCCTGGGCTAACCTCTATTCTACTCTCTAACTTTATGAATTTGCCTCTTCTACTTCTCTCATGGAAGCAGAATTGTACAATATTTGTCTCTATATGACTGTCTTATTTCACTTAGCATAGTATCTTCAAAGTTTATCCACACTGTAGCATGTATAAGTATTCCATGCATTTCAATAACATCATCGTATCTGCTGTGTACCTATAACACATTTTGTTTGTTCATTCATGTGCTGATAAACAATTGGGCCATTTCCACCTTTGGCTATTGTGAATATTCTGCTCTGAGTGTTGAAGCAAAAGTATCTGTTTACATCAGTGTTTCATTTCTTTTGTATATTTACTTAGGTGTGGAATTACTGGGTCATGTGGCAGTTTTATGTTTGACTTTTTGAGGAACTGCCAGGCTTTTCCACAGCTGTCGCACTGTTACACATTCCCATGAGCAGTGCCTCCAAATCCATCCTTCACATCTCCAACACCGGTTATTTTCCATTTTGTTATAATAGCCATCCTAATGGGTGTGAAATGATATCTCACTGCCATTTTGATTTGCATTTCCCTAATGACTGATGAGATTGAGCATCTTTTCATGTGCTTATTGACCACCTGAATGCTTTATTTGAAGAAATGTTGATTCAAGCCTTTTGCTCAGTTTTGACTTGAGTTGTTTGCTTTTTTTGTTGTTGAGTTTTAGGAGTTCTTTATATATTCTGGATATTAATCCCTTATCAGATATATGATTTGCATATATTTTCTCCCATTCTGTGAGTTGTCTTTTCAGTCTCTCAATAGTGTCCTTTGGTGCACAAAAGTTTTAAATTTTGATGAAGTCCAATTTATCTAATTTTCTTTCATTGCCTATGCTTTTAGTGCCATATCTAAGGTATCATTGCCAAGTTTAGCACATGAAGATTTCCCTCTATCTTTGCTTCTAAAAGTTTTATAGTTTTAGCCCTTAGTCCATTTTGAGTTAATTTTTGTATATGGTGTTAGGTAAGGGTTCAGCTTCATTCTCTTGCATGTGAATATCCAGTTTTCCCAGCATCATTTGTTGAAGAGACTGTCCTTTTCCCCATTTAATGGAATTGTTAGTGTTTTGTACATGTAAGATTTCTACATATAAGATGTTGTCTGTGAACAGAGATAATCTTATGCTCTCCTTTCCACGGTGGATACCTTTATTTCTTTTTCTTGTCTAAGTGCTCTGGCTAGTACTCCCAGTGCTATGTGGAAGAGAAGTGGCAAATGTGTCCATCCTGGTCTTGTTCCTGATCTTAGGGGAAAGCTTTCACTTTCACCATTGAGAACATTGTTAGCCGTGTGATTCTCAAATATGGCCTCTACCATGATAGGGAAGTTACTCTGTATCCCTAGTTTCTTGAGTGTTTTCATCATTAAAAAAAAGTTGGATTTAGTAAAGTGCTTTTTCTGCATCAATTGAGATGATCATTTAGTTTTGGTATTCATTCATTTAGTGTGGTGCATTTTACTGGTTGATAAAATGTATGTTAAACTACCATTGCACTCCAAAAATAAATCCCACTTGGTCATGGTGAGTAAACCTTTAAGGTGCCATTGGGTTCAATTTGTATACATATGGCATATTGGTGTGTAATTTTCTTTCCTTTTGACATCCTTGTTGTGATTTGGTATTAGTATAATGCTGACTTCATGAATGAGTTAGGAAGTGTTCCTTCCTCTTTGATTTTTGGGAAGAGTTTCAGAAGAATTAGTGTTCATTCTTTTTTAAATATTTTGGTAGAATTCACCAGTAAAACAATCTTGTCCTGAGCTTGTCACTGATAGGCTTCTGATTACTGACTCAGTCTCCTCACTAGTTATAGAAGTATTCAAATTTTCTATTTCTCCATTTGTCATTTTGGTAGATTGTGTGTTTCTAAGAATATGTTCATTTTACCTAGGTTATCCAATGTATTGATGTATCATTGTTCATAGTATTATTTTATAACCCTTTTTGTTTCTGTAAAATAAGTAATAATGTTCTCAATGTCATTTCTGATTTGAATAATACGAGTCATCTCTCTTTTTCATAGTCAGTCCACCTAAAGGTTTGTCAATTTTGTTGATCTTTTCGAAGAGCCAGCTTTTGGTTTTGGTGATTTTCTCTATTGTTTTTTCATTCTCTGTGTTATTGATCTCTGCTCTAGTCTTCATTATTTCTTCCCTTCTGTTATTTTTGGATTTGGTTTGCTCTTCTATTTTTATTTCCTCAAGGTGTATAATAGGTTATGATTTAGTTATGATCAGGTATGATTCTTCTTTTTCAGTGTATGCATTTACATAAATCTCCCTCTTTGCATTGCTTTTGTTGTATTTCACAACTTTGGTATGTTGTATTTTCTTCATTTGTCTCAAAATATTTTATAATTTCCCTTGTCATTTCTTCTTAAACCAATTTGTTGTTAAAGAATGTGTTAATTTCTATGTTTGTGAATTTTCTAGTTTTCCTTCTGTTATTGATGTGTACTTTTATATCATTATGATCAGAAAAGAAAATTTGAGTAATTTTAATTTTTAAAGATTAAAACATTTTAAATTTTAGCCTTATTTTGTGGCTGATAATTTATGCTGGAGAATGTTGCATGTGCACTTGAAAAGAATGTGTGTTCCACTGTTGTTGCCTTGAGTGTTGTCTATATGTCTGCTATGTAAGTCCTCTATTTTCTTTTTTTTTTTTTTAAGTCCTCTATTTTCTTATTTATCTGTCTGGTTGTTCTGTCTTATTATTGAAAGTGAGGTACTGAAATATCCCAGTATTCGTGTAGGACTATGTATTTCGCCCATCATTTCTGTCAATTTTTTTTGTATCTTTTATGGCCCTGTCATTAGGTGTGTACATATTTATAATTGTTACATCTTCATGCTGTATCTCCTTTATTAATATATATTGTCCTTCTTTGTCTTTTGTAATCTTTTTGTGATTTAAAGTCTATTTTGTCTGACAATAATACAGCTGTCCCAACTCTCTTTTGGTTACTATTTGCATGAAATACCTTTTTCCATCCTTTTGCTTTCACCCTCTTTATATTTTTTTATCTAAAGTAAGTCTCTTATACACAGAATATACATGAAGCCTGTGGGTTTTTAAATCCAATCTCCCAATTTTTTTAAACTAGCAGAGCTTAGTTCATTTACATTTAATATGATTATTGATAAAGATTTACTTCAGCCATTTATATACTTGTTTTCTGTATGTCACGTGGTTTTCTTTCTTCAGTTACTCCATTTTCTCTATTTTTGTATTTTGTTAATTTTTTTGTAGTGGGCCATTTTGAGTCACCTTTCCTTTCTTTTTCTGTATATATTTTCGTTATTTTCTTGGGGATTATAATTAATACCTTAAACTTATGACACCCTAGTTTGAATAATACCAACTTAGTTTCAGTAGGACATAGAGCTTTGTTCCTTTTTGTCCCTGCCTTTTCCTTTCTATTGTTATTGTCACATATTGCACCTTCGCACACTCTGACCACTAACATAGGTTTATAATCACTGTTTTACTCGTTGCCTAATAAATCACATAGGAAAAAAATAGGAGTTACAAACCACGAAAAAAGTAAAATAATTCTGGCTTTTATATTTACTTTCTTAGTTATCTCTACCACTGTTTTTTATTTTTCTTATGGCTTCAAGGTGCTGACTAGAGTACTTTCATGTAAGCGTGAAAGACTCCCTTTAGCATTTCCTGTAGGGCAATCTGCTGATAATGCATTCTCAGGTTTTGTTTATCTGGAAATGTCTTAATTTTGCCCTCATTATTGAGAGGTTATTTAAAAGTACATACAATTCCTGGTTGGCAGCTTATTTTTTTCTTTGAGGATTTTGAATATATCATTACACTACCTTCTGGCTGCCAGTTTCTTAGGAGAAATCAGCTGTTACTATATTGAGGCTCCTTTGTGCATGAGAAATTGCTTCTCTCTTGCTGATTTATTTCACCATTCTCTCTGTCCTTGGGTTTCCTCAGTTTTTTGTAATATGTGTTAATGTGAGTTTCTTTGAGGTTTTCCTGCATCCAATTTCTTGAGATTCCCAAATGAGTATATTCACGTTTTCTCAGATTTGGGAAGTTTGGAGACATTATTCCTTCAAATACCTTTTCTTCCATTTAGTCTCTTCTCCTTCTGTAACTTTTGTGAGCAATGTTAGTACATTTGGCTCTGTTCAATTTTCCTCAATCTTTTTTCATTTTTGCTACATGGACGATTATTTTAATTGTCTTGTCTTTAAGTTCACCCATCCCTTCTTCCGCTTGTTTAAATTTGCTGGTAAACCCCTTCCATTAAGGTTTGTATTTCACTTTTTGGACTTTTCAATTCCAGAACTTCTGTATGGTTCAGAGAGAGAGAGAGAAAGAGAAAGTACGTTTAGAGCATTCTTAGGCTCACAGAAAAATTTGGCAAAAGTATAGACAGTTCCTACACACCCCTGTCCACACACCCCTGCACAACCTCCTTGACTATCAACATCCTCAACCAGATGGTGCATTTGTTACAATCAGTGAACCTACACTGACACATCATTATCATTTAAAGTCTGTAGTTTACATTGGGGTTCACACTCATATTGTACCTGGGTTTGAACAAATGTACACAGATGTGTCCACCATTGGAGTATATTACAGAATGGCTTTACTGCCTTAAAAATCTTCTGTGCTCCCCCTATGCATCCCCAACCCATGGGAATCACTGATCGTTTCACTATCTCCATAGTTTTTGACTTTTCCAGAATGTCATGGAGTTGAAATCAACTTCTTTTATCTCTGCAGTCAACCAAAGGCGTTTTTGCTTTTTTTCTCTCACTTAGTAGCTTGCATTTAAGGTTACTCCATGTCTTTTCATGCCTTGATAGCTCATTTTTCAGTATTGAATAACAGTCCATTGTTTGAATATACTGCACTTTATTTGTACATTTACCTACTGAGGGACGTTTTGGTTGCTTCCAAGTTTTGGTTCCTTTTTTGCCACTTCTGTCTCTTTACCATGTGCTCATTGTGTTCATACAACATTTTCCTGATTCATCTAGTTCTTTGTCTATGATTTCCTTAAGCTCATTAACGTATTTAAGCTAAATCTTGATTTAACACCTTTGACTAGTAATTCCAATCTGTAGACTTTCCTGGAAATGGTTTCCGTTATAGTCTGTATTTCCTGTAAATGTGGCAAAGCTGCTGCTGCTTTGTATGCTTTGTAATGTTCTTGAGACCTGGACATTTTGAGGGGTTATATTGTGGTGACTGGAAATCTAACCTCACCACTCCTCAGGGACTGCTGAACCTTGCCTGTTAAGGGCAGAAGCCATCTGTTTGTGACTTTTCCAAAGTTTTAGTTTTAAGCTTTCTTTTTTCCCCTTTAATTTTTTTTTTGCACAGCTTGTATTCCTTGTTGCATGTAGTCACTGATGTTTCTGTTCTTTATCTCTGCAGTCAACCAGTGACCTGAAAAGGATTTCCTTAAATGCTTGGCTCCCAGGCCAGAGAACGATACTGTCTCTTTAAATCTCCTGGAAGCCACTTGAGCCCTTGGGGGCTGAAACAATGTCCTCTGTGCTGACCCCTCAGTGGTCACAGGAAGCCGTCAGCAATCAGAACCCACAGCCCCAGTATTTGGAGGACAAGGGTCTTTCTTACTCATCCTGGCTCCAGCCAGTGGCACTGCTGTGGAATAGTAGCCACTGCCATGTCATAGGCTGAAATTCCTAAAATTTACCATCAAGCTCTCCTCTGGACAACTCCAGAGCTCCTAAATAGTGACTTCAGGCAGCAACTGCCGGCTTCATAGCTGTTGAGCAGGAGGCACAGATTCCCAGAGCCTGCTACTCCACTGCTTTCCTCCATGTCACTCCTCACATCCCAGGATTGCTTTCGAGATGTCCTGACTTCACAACTGACAGTTTTATGGGTAACCTGCTTGTTCTCGGGAAGGTTTTAGAATCAGCTCATAATCACTGGTGCTCCTACATTGCATGATAATGTATCCTAGTTTGTGTGACTGTACTGCACTGATGCTTGATTGACTCTTCCAATCTGGAGCCAGTGTCCCTCAAATCATTAGTCAGCCTTTGGAGCTCCTGAAATGATTCCATAATTGTATATCTTCTGTCTCCTATTTTCCAGACAATTTATTCAATTACATCTTCCAGCCCTTCTACTAAATGTTTTTATTCTGGCTATAAATTATAATTCTAACAATTATCATTTGTCCTGTGAATGTCCTTTACAAATAGTCCACCATTTTGTTCCATAGATACACAGTCCTCTCATATTTCTGGGGATCTCAGCTGCTGCTGCTGCTATTGTAAAATGTTCTTCAGTTTCCTGCATGTCTTCGTAGGCTCCAGGTGTTTGTCTTCTGTTTGGTTTGAGTTTACTTTCATGCTAGAGGCGGTGCTCCCATATCAGGTGACATTTGGCTGTTATTTCAGAAGTCAGACAGGCACTCACCACTGCCTGGAGCCCATAAAATGGGCTGTTTGATGTAGAAGCTTTACTCCAGTGGGATCAGGCAGGGACTTGGATATTTTCCTGAGAGAATCTCCCACTGTCAGTGCCTCTGGTTCTTTTCCTTTGGGTCTGTTTTCCCAGAGCAGAGACTTCTGATTTCCTGCCAGTTGCAGGGTAAGTAAGGAGGCATCTTTAAAAACCTGGTTGCTGCACTCTTTAGATAGAAACTGGGGTGGATAAACAGAGGGGAGACTGAGTGTCCAGAAAGAAGATTCTCACAATTCCCCTGTTGCCAGGAAAGACCACTTTTCTACCCTCAGCTGTGTCCAAGAAGACCCCAGTCATGCCTGAGTTGGTGAGAGACTAGCCTCAGCCTTGGAATGGGGATGTGCTGGGGTCACACCCTCTTTATGTAATTAAGTTTCCAGCCAATCCTCTTTCAGAGCTTCCTGCCTCCCACCCAGCCCCTGCTGTCAGAGAGACTTGGTGCCTCCAATTCTGGAGACTGCCTTGAGTTCTGTGACTCAGAACAACTTCCTTCCCCTGTAGGCATCATGATGAGATCCTCAAAGGCAGTCAGGCACTCCAGTCCTTCCAACTCCCAGAATGCTAGAGACATGCGTTCCCTGCTGTAGAAACCTCTGCCATTCCCTTGATCTCTGAAGACAATTGCACTTGACTGTCAGCTTAGCATGGTTTTGGGAGGGAAGGAAGATAAACCCCTGTGTTTAAGCTGCCGTGTTAAATGGGGGGCCCCTGATCTTTTTTCTTTCTCTTTTTTAGAGTGGATCTCACTCTGTTATCCAGGCTGGAATGCAGTGATGTGATCATAGCTCATCTCAGCCTTGAACTCCCAGGTTCAAGTCATCTCCCTGTCTCAGCCTCCTGAATAGCTGGGACTGCAGCACCTAGCTAATTTTTAAATCTTTTTGTAGAGACAGGGGCTCACTATGTTTCTCAGGCTGGTCTTGAACTCCTGGCTTCAAGGAATCTTCCCACCTCAACCTCCCAAAGTGCTGGGATTACAGGCATGGGCCATGGTGCCCAGCCACCTGTGGTCTTCCCTCAGCTTGGTTTCATTAAAGAATAAACACATGCCTTGCAAAATGCTTTTAAACATTTTGAGGAGAAGTTATTGGTGAAAGCAAAGGTCATGAAATCAGAAAAACAGAATTAATGCATGGACATAGTGGAAGACTCACAGTAACACAAAACCAGACACACAGAGAACACCCACATGGATGAGTGTCAGGCACCACGTGGAGAGACAAAACCAGACATGGAAGTTCCAGAAGGGGCAATATTAACCTATGGGGGTAACAACAGAATGGTAGCCACCTCTAGGAGTGGGCATCAGGTGGGAGGAAACCCCAGCGAGTCTTCAGGGGAGCAGGAAACATTCTGCATCTCATTGTGGGCTTTAATGACACAGATGCATACATACATTAAATTCCACCAAGCTGTATTCTTCAGCTTTTTGTGCACCTTACACAAATCGTTGTGGTTGTTTTATACTTCAGTAAAAAAAAAAAAAAAAAGAAAAGGAAATTGACATGTCTTGTTTCTTGCTGTGTGCTAGACCCTGATTTGGTCTGCTCTTAAAAATTCATTCATTTCATGAGCACCTACTATGTCCTAAGTACTGTCTAGGTTCTGAGGACTCAGCAATGAACAAAAAAATTAGGCACAGTCCCTGACAGATGGCGCTCACAGTTAGTGTTGGAGCCAGTGTCAAATAACCACATGCATGGAAGGAAAATGACCACGATGACAAGTGAAGGGCAGTGCAAGTGTGTAGAAGGACTGTGTCCTAGTCTAGGGGGCGAGTCAGAAACGCTTCCCTGAGAGATCAGGTTTAGACAGAGGTCTCAGGCTGAGGAGGAATAAGCAGCTGAGGGGGAGGGCTGCGGAGAAGGGCACATCATGCAAGGGAACAGCATGTGCAAAGACTGAGCCAGGGAGAGGCATGGCATGTTAAGGAGGGCAGGGAGTGAGGCCCAGCAGGGCATTGCTGATGTGAGAGAGCAGGGGGCCTGAAAACAACCATGTGGAGAGGGGAGGTGGCTGCCCCAGGCCCCCAGAAAGTGCAGTGGGGGTTGGAAGCCAGCTTTGTCTGCCCTCTCTGCTCCTGAGACAGAAAGGATGTCTGTGGGATTGTGAGCAGGAGAGGCTGTCTGGGTTTTCATCAGGAGCAAGAGGCCAGGCTGTGGCCGCCTACCAGCTGTGCTCACACTACTGGACTCTCAGCTCCACAGGACCCGTGGACAGGGCCAGCTATGAGATCCTGCCCTTAAGAGCGGTACTGGGATCCCCTGCTGAGCACCTGCATTTCCTGCAAAGCCATTTGCAACTGTCAGAGCCAGCTCACCTGTGCAGCCTTCTGCAGTGACTTCTGGGGCCTGACCCCAGGAGACAGTGGGCTCACCCCCGTCCTTTCCCTGCAGAGCACCCTCTGGCCCCACAGTCAGGTGGCTGAGGAAAGGGTGACAAGAGAAGGTGTACAGTGTGGCATCTCTTACCTCTCTACCTTTCTGCTCTGGTCACACAACCTCCTGAGGTTCACACACTCACCCAAGGTCAGGAGTTCCAGATCAGCCTGACCAACATGGAGAAACCCCGCCTCTACTAAAAATACAAAATTAGCCGAGTGCAGTGGCACACACCTGTAGTCCCAGCTACTCGGGAGGCTGAAGCAGGAGAATCGCTTGAACCGGGGAGGCAGAGGTTGCAGTGAGCTGAGATCGCACCACTGCACTCCAGCCTGGGCAACAAGAGTGAAACTCTGTCTCAAAAAAAAAATTATATGAGATCTTGGCTGTGCTTTAAAATATACAAGCCCCCCAAAAAATGTTTAGAAAAGTACAAGGCAGAATTTAAACAATTTGTGAAGCTGATGATCGGTGCAGAGGGCATCATTGTGCTGTCCTCTTTATGTACATGTGTGGTAAGTTCTGTAATAAAAAGTTTCAAAAGAAAGAAACAACAGACAGTGACAAGGGAGGGCCTAGTTCTACTGGATGGTCAGAGGAGACTCCTGACATTTGGGCTGAGATCTGAAGATTAGATAGGAGGGAGCCGAGAGAAGATTATAGAGGGAATGCATTCCAGGCAGTGAGAATAGCATGTGCTGTGGTGTTCGCGCCAAAGGCTCGAGACAGTTAGTTGATTCGTCTCAGTTTGGCTGCTGGACTTGTACTGCATTTCCTCACCTCGAGGGCTGTCGAGTGAGACAAAGCCGTAAGCTGACTCACTAAAAGCAACAACAGAATGCAAAGCAAAGGCCTGCAGTTTATGAGGACATTGTGCTGTCTGCTTCCATGTCCCCCTTCAGTCTCTGTGTAAGCAATAAACTTGCTGCAATTGAAATGTCTAAGAGGAGCAGAGACCTCTGCCCATATTTTCCCTGGAGCCAAGCCTTTGTTTTAGCTCCTGATGCAAAACAGGTTTAACCAGCCACCTTAAGGGTGCCATTGTATCTTTGGAATGTAAAATCATTGAAATGTAAACTACTACTACTAGCCCCCTTAAACTGCGTCCTGAGCAGGATATCAAGCCCCGGATATCTATTTTATGGAGTTTTTGTTTCCTTTCTGTTTTCCCCTTTGTTTCTTTCTGCTGAGATGACGTAAATGTAAACAAGACAAAAGGTATAAAAGCTGTAACCCACAAAAATAAATTTGCTGCGTTTTGGCCATAATCTTCACGCAGCCCTCCAGACTCTACTTTTCTATGTTCTTTCTTTTCCGCGCACTCTCTCTCTCTCAGGTTGAACGAGACATCTACGTTGGCGGTCTTGGGGACTCCCGCGGGTCGGTAGTCCTCCGGCAGACGTGCCGGACCCCGACATCTGGCGCCTTGGAACAGGGACCTGAGTACGAGAGGTGAATCTGGCACCTAGGAACAGGGACCTGAGTACGAGAGGTACAGTGACGCACCCCAAATCAAAGGAGACAAGGTAAAGCCGCGGTTCTTGTAGTTCTGGACTCAAAATTCATCTGGAGTAAAATGGGGCAGTCTGAGTCCAAAAATAAGTTAATGTTCACGAAGTTATTACATCAAATGTTAAGAAAGAGAGGTGTTGACGTAAAAAAGAAACATGTTTCTAAGTTTTTAGAGATTGTTTATGTATTGTGTCCGTGGGTCCCTGAGGAGGGATCGTTAGATGAATCGACGTGGAGTAAAATAGGAACTAAGATTGAGGAATATGCCGCCGCTCATCAATTTTCTCCGCAGGCAGAATTGCTTCTCTCGGTCTGGCCTCACCTGCGCCAGGCTGTCTGCCTGCCTCACTGCTCCCCTGGTGTTTCTCTTGCTTCTAGTTCCTCTTCTTTCTCTTGCAAATCTAACCCTGATGGTGGAGGGGGCGGCGGTAATTTACCACCTTGCAATCCTCTAAACGAGCCCGATTCCGCTCTCGGAGTCGGACCTGAAGCCAGAAATGGGGGAGCTCCGGACGAAAAGATCGAAGCCGGAGCAGAAATCAGCGCTTCAGAGAGTGCGCAGGTAAGGGCTTCAGCTGTGCCCTCAATTTCTACCCTCGAGGAATTATCCAGGCTTCTGGCTTCGCTTTCCAAACCTCAAGCTTTCCCTGTTGTTACTACGCTTTCCTCTAAGCCTGTGGTGTGCTCTACACCACGAGAACCTATCCTTGCAACTACTTATGCCTTTGAGTCTATGAAACAGGGATTTCCTGATTCTGACCTTCACCTCGTCTGTCCTGTTATAGAGGTGACCAATCAAAACGGCGAGATTGTTCGCCATTATGAACCTATTCCACCAAAATTCATGAAAGATTTCAAGGAGGCAGTGACTAATTATGGACCCACTGCACCTTATACTCTCTCTTTACTCGAAAATTTTGGTACTCAAGCCATGACCCCTGCAGATTGGCATCGCATCGCCAATGCCTGCCTTTCAGGTGGCGACTACTTATTGTGGAAAGCTTATTATGATGATGCCGCTTTTGAGTTGGCGGAAAAGAATGAGAGACAAAGAGTGGGAGTTAATTTACAGATGTTAAAAGGTACAGGTGATTATGAAAGTGTTCAGGCACAAGTTGCCCTCCCAGAAGCGGCATTTGGGCAGGTAAATGCTTTAGCTTTGCGTGCCTAGAGAAAGCTTCCCACTCATGGAGAATTTACTGATGAAATTACCAAAATTAAACAGGGAAATGAGGAACCCTACCAAAATTTTATCTCTCGATTAATGCAGGCAGTCAAATGGCAATTTGGAGATATCGAGTCAGCTCAATTATTTACAAAACAATTGGCCTATGAAAATGCTAATACTACTTGCCAGTCCATGGAATACTCCTATTTTTGTCATTAGAAAGAAATCTGGTAAATGGAGACTTTTACAAGACCTTAGGAAAGTGAATGAAATTATGGAAGTCATGGGACCACTGCAACCTGGTCTCCCTTCGCCTGTTGTTCAAAATTGGGAATTACTAGTCATTGATTTGAAAGATTGCTTCTTTTCCATCCCCTTGGCACCTCAAGATTGCTGCAGGTTTGCCTTCAGTGTTCCTGCAACCAATTTTGACAGGCCTTTTGAGCGCTATGAGTGGACGGTTCTTCCTCAAGGTATGGCGAACAGCCCTACCTTGTGTCAGAAATTTGTCGCTCAGGTAATTGCACCCGTCCGTGAGCGCTATCCAGATGTCCTTTTGTTACGTTATATGGATGATCTCCTTTTGGCAGCTCCTTCCCCTGGCCTCCTACAGGAAGCCTTTCAGGATTTAAGCGACCTCCTTACAAATTCAAACTTAGTTATATCTCCTGACAAAGTCCAAAAGGTAACTCCTTTCCATTATTTGGGTCGCCTCATTGACTCCAATCAAGTGTCCTATAAGACTCCTGTCTTATCTACTGCCCATCTCAGTACGCTGAATGATTTCCAAAAGTTTTTGGGAGACCTTAACTGGATCAGGCCTAGTCTTAAATTAACTACTGGTCAGCTTAAGCCTCTTTTTGATATGCTCAGAGGCCACGCAGACCCAAAGTCTCCCCGGACACTTACTGTTGAAGCTAGACATGCCTTGCAATTGGTGCAAGATGCTCTCTCAGAACAAAAACTATACCGTGTCACTACTGGAGTGTCTTGGTGTTTATGCATTTTACGCACCTCTTACACCCCCACAGGTCTTTTCTGGCAAAAAGGAATCTTAGAGTGGCTCCATCTGTCTGCCAGTCGGCCTCGTATTGCCACTCCTTATCACGATTTAGTATCTATGCTAATCGCCAAAGGCCGCCTCAGGGCACTCACTCTCTTTGGCTCTGACCCACCTATTGTGATTGTTCCTTACACCACCCAAGAACAATCTTGGTTGTGGTCATTTTCTGACTCATGGCAATTAGCTCTTGCAAATTTCACAGGGCAGCTTTCCTGCCACTATCCCAAAGACAAAATACTGCATTTTTATTCCAGATGTAATCTTATTTTCCCCAAGACATGTTCTTTGCAGCCGATTTCTCAGGCCGCTTTGGCATTCACAGACGGTTCCTCAAACGGACTTGCTGCTGGACAAATTGATGATGTTCCCTTTTCTTTCCAGACACCTGAAACTTCCGCCCAAAGGGTAGAATTGCTTGCTGTTCAACATGTGCTCTCCACCTGTGGTCAATCAGTTAATATATACTCTGACAGTCAATATGTAGTTAACCTGATCAATCTGCTAGAGACAGCACCCTTGTCATTTTCTGACAGTTCTGCTATAATACACCTACTTCTTCCTTTACAGCAGACTATCTGCAAGCGGACTCATCAATTCTTTATTGGTCACATTCGTGCACATACTGATTTACCCGGTCCTCTCTCTGCAGGCAACAGGAATGCTGATGCTCTCACACGCCCAATGATCGCTTCTGCCCTCTCTCCTCTAAGACAGGCTGAGATGTCCCATGCCCTGCACCACCAGGGCTCCCGTAGCCTGCGACTGCAGTTTCAGATCACCAGAGAACAAGCTCGTGCCATTGTTAAGCAGTGCCCTGCTTGTGTGACTCATTTACCTCAACCCACACATACTGGAGTAAACCCTCATGGTCTACAACCTGGCCACATCTTTCAGATGGATGTCACCCATATTGCTTCTTTTGGTCGTTTAAAATATGTGCATGTAACTATTGACACTTTTTCTCATTTCATAATAGCTTCAGCCCATACAGGAGAGGCAGTCAAAGACGTGACTGCTCATTGTCTACTAGTGTTCTCCAACCTAGGTGCACCAAAAATTTTGAAGACTGATAATGCTCCAGCTTACACCAGCTCTTCATTCCAAACCTTTTGTTCTCAATTTCAGGTGATTCATAAAACAGGAATTCCCTATAATCCTCAAGGACAGGGAATTGTTGAACGTGCTCATGCCACCCTTAAAACTTTATTACTTAAACTAAATAATTCACCTCCTTCCTTTTACAAGTCTCCACATGATGTACTTCGACATGCTCTTTATGTTCTAAATTTTTTAACCCTTGATGCAGAAGGTCACTCAGCAGCTAATCGTTTCTGGCACCCAAAGGGCTCAGCCACGCCTATGGTGTTATAGAGAGATTTATTTTCTAATCAATGGAATGGCCCTGACCCTGTATTAGTTTGGGGCAGAGGTCACGTTTGTGTTTTTCCTAGGTCTGCCCCCTCACCTATCTGGGTGCCTGAGCGACACGTCAAGCATGCTCCGAAGAAGACAGTCCTCTCTAAGGCCAGTGACCAGCCCTCTTCCTCGACTGACATCTCCTCGTCAGCCGAGCCCTCAGATGACTTCACCAAACTCCCTTCCCCTGAGAATCCGATGTCTACGCCTGCGGAAGACGACATCCCGCCATGTCCATCGCCAGTGGCACCAGCTGACACCTCCTCAAAAGGTTCCAGTCCTGACCTGGACCCAGATGTGACACCTAGTGGCTGATGCGTCACACATTGTTCGTCAGCAAGGACATTCTCTTAATCCGGTTACTCTATTTTTAGCCATGCTAGCCATTTTTTCTTGTGATTCTATGTCGGCAATTATAGCCATTGTGTCTGTGATATCTTCTACAGCTACAGCTGCTGTTAGTCTTTCAAAATCTGTTAATACTACTGTATATGTGAATCATTTAGCCAAAAATGTTTCTATTGCTATGGGATCTCAAATGTCTATTGATGACAAGTTAGAAGCTAAACTGCATCATTTAAAGTTAGACAGTAAAATAGGCGTTAGCTAACATTTGAGGTGTTTGTACAAAAAAGAGGCACACAGAATGTCAGTCCTAGCAGAGGTGGCGGGCTCAAGCTGAAGAAATGTAGGTGCATGTGCTCCTCAGTGACATATAATCTAATATCACTTGCAAGGCCATTAGCCTCTAAAGATAATATTGACTATGATGCTGGACCTGAAGGGATGGCTGGTTAGTCAATGACGGGTAAGATCCTCAGGGGAGGACAACCTAAGACAGGCACAGCCGCAGTAAGGCCAGCATACACCGGGGATGTGCCCAGCCGGCAATCCCTCCTGAGGCTTTTGAGCATTACCCCACAATGCTGTAAATCTAGCTTGTCTTCCTAGTGAAGGTGACGGCTGCCACTGACTGCTGCTCGGACATGAAATTCCTGTGTGGTCTGTTTCAATGTACTACACCCTACATATTAATAATAGTAATGCTTAATGTTGTGCCTGCCATGTGTCTTCCATCTTGTGTTCTCCACCCTCCGAGAGATGCAACTGAAGCTGTTTACACTTCATTTGCAAAGTAAAAAAACGGGAGATGTGGTGTTCGCGCCAAAGGCTCGAGACAGTTAGTTGATTCGTCTCAGTTTGGCTGCTGGACCTGTACTGCATTTCCTCACCTCGAGGGCTGTCGAGTGAGACAAAGCCGTAAGCTGACTCACTAAAAGCAACAACAAAATGCAAAGCAAAGGCCTGCAGTTTATGAGGACATTGTGCTGTCTGCTTCCATGTCCCCCTTCAGTCTCTGTGTAAGCAATAAACTTGCTGCAATTGAAATGTCTAAGAGGAGCAGAGACCTCTGCCCATATTTTCCCTGGAGCCAAGCCTTTGTTTTAGCTCCTGATGCAAAACAGGTTTAACCAGCCACCTTAAGGGTGCCATTGTATCTTTGGAATGTAAAATCATTGAAATGTAAACTACTACCACTAGCCCCCTTAAACTGCTTCCTGAGCAGGATATCAAGCCCCGGATATCTATTTTATGGAGTTTTTGTTTCCTTTCTGTTTTCCCCTTTGTTTCTTTCTGCTGAGATGACGTAAATGTAAACAAGACAAAAGGTATAAAAGCTGTAACCCACAAAAATAAATTTGCTGCGTTTTGGCCATAATCTTCACGCAGCCCTCCAGACTCTACTTTTCTATGTTCTTTCTTTTCCGCGCACTCTCTCTCTCAGGTTGAACGAGACATCTACGTTGGCGGTCTTGGGGACTCCCGCGGGTCGGTAGTCCCCCGGCAGACGTGCCGGACCCCGACAATGTGCAAAGCACCTGAGGCAGGAAAGAATGTGACATGTTTGAGACATTGAAAACAGGTGAGTCCCTGACACGTAGTAAGTCCTTAATGAATACTTGTTGAGGGGAACTCAGAGAGGTTGCGTAACTTACCCAAGATCATACAGTGGAAAAGTGGAGATGCCACAGTGGCATCCCGGTTTGAACCCAGGACTCTGACCCTTAAATCATGGCCTGAACCACCATCCATTAATAAATTAGAACAATTCATTGATTCATCCCACAAACATAGATGGTGTGCTCTAGCCCAAAAGAAACAGGAATCTGGCATGGCTCTTCAGGGACAGTGTCACCTGATGGGAGAAATGACTATGTGTCAAGGTAGAAGGCCACAGTCAGAAGAGGCAACCTTCAGCTGATGGGCAGGGGAGCAGGGAGGTGTCCTTGGAGGAGGCACCATCAGAGTCAGGTTGTTAAGAGGCCACAGAATGCAGAAATCAGATGTGGGGAGGGTGCCTAGAAGAAAGGGCAGCATGAGCAGAGGCGCAGAGGTGGGAAACGCAGTGCAGAGGACCGAGTCCTGGGTGGGGGCGGGGCAGGGTGTGAGGTCAGGCAGGAGGGGCCTGGTCTGGGGCGCTCAGGCACCACCTGCAAAAGTGCCACCTCCAACAGTGAGGAGGTTACAGAAAGCCCCAAGGACACCACTGCTGGGCCAACCCTGTGTGACACAGAGTGGAAGTGTCGGTTTCTGTGCTGTTCAGTGGAGCCCTGGGGATAGGGCAGGGCCAGAGCAGGGGAGATCACTGGCCCCATGTGGGCCATCTGAGTTTTCCCCAAGTCCCCAATTTCGTGTTCTTTTAGGTCCTTCCTTTACTCTATCAAAGGCATAAAAAGGGGTCTGTATTGGCTTTGTGAAGAGGCTCAAATGAATATTCTACTCAAGCCTTCCATTAAGTGAGCATTTAGTATGTGCCAAGCACTACAACTCTGCCAACAACCCTAAGAAGAAGTCAGTGCAGTTATTTTCCCTATACTGGACATGAAGAAACTGAGTCATGGAAAGGCTAAGATCACATGTCTGCAAATGGTACAGCTGGGATGGCCTCAACGGAAATTTGGTTCTGAAATTTGGGTTCTTATCCGCCATCCTGCACTGCTTCTGAAATGTGTCCTTCACATATCTGTGTGAGCCACGTTTTCACATAAATACCTTATTCTAAAGACAAAGAAAACTTGCTTTTTTCATGTAAAAACTTTCATGTAGAAATATTCTGAGGCTAGGCTGGGCACAGTAGTCACGCCTGTAATCCCAGCACTTCGGGTGGCCACGGCAGATGGATCACCTGAGGTCAGAAGTTTGCGACCACCCTGGCCAACATGACAAAACCCCACCTCTACTAAAAATACAAAAATTAGCTGCATCTCATGGTGGGCACCTGTAATCCCAGCTATTCAGGAGGCTGATGCAGGGAAATTGCTTGAACCTGGGAGGCAGAGGTTGCAGTGAGCAGAGATCACACCATTGCACTCCAGCCTGGGTGACAAGAGTGAAACTCCCTTTCAAAAAAACTATTAAAAAAGAAATATTCTGAGGCTTTAGATAATTGATTGTTCAAACAGATTTCTTTACACTTTCAAAGTTGGGTCCACTGTGCTCTCTTAAGGCAGGTGTGATTGGGCTTTAGTTTCCTTGGCCTCTGTGCCTTGGCACTGATACCTGTGTAAGCTGCTCTAATTCTCATTTAGTCTTCAGATAGGAGAAATATTGTTCATGTGAACTTTTCTACTTTCCTTCCAGCTCCCTCCTCCAACTTGCCAAAGAGGATTCTGATTTTTCCCCTTCATTCCTTATGCTAGTTTGAAATATATTTCTCCCTGATAACGCTTGAAAAATGCAAGTAAAGGTCTTATGTAACAATGTAATCTAGACCTCAATTTTAAATCATAACTGAAATTCTTCATATGTTTGGAAACTAAGAAATGCACTTGTAAATAATCCGTAGGTCAAAGAAGAAATAATAACAAAAAATAAGTACATTTTGAACTAGATAGGGGAAAAATACCACACATCAAAATGTAATGCAGGTAAAATAGTACTTAGAGGACAATGCATAGTCTTCAATTTGTATATTGTAAAAGTACTTGGCTTACTCTGGGATTGCTTTCTGGAATTTTCCATGACTTTTTTTTAACTTTGATGACCTTTGTAGCCAAACCTAGAGCTCCTGCTGGTCTGTGTTACCCAGGAGTATCACACATTTCTGTCTCCCAGGGTTACTCAGCTGCCACAAGGAGCAAGGCAGGTTCTATGACCAACTCCTGAGGCACTGTGTCAGCTGTGCCTCCATCTGTGGACAGCACCCTAAGCAATATGCATACTTCTGTGAGAACAAGCTCAGGAGCCCAGTGAACCTCCAACCAGAGCTCAGGAGATAGCGTAATGGAGAAGTTGAAAACAATTCAGACCAAGAATCAGAGCACAGAGGCTCAGAAGCAAATCCAGGTAAGCTATCTGGGGCAAACCTGCATAGTGCCATGCAGGGTCAGAAAGAATGGGAAGCCTGATGCCAGGCCTAGAACAGGAGAGTCCACGATGCATGAAGCCCAGAGTCCAAGCAAATGGCCAGAAGCCAGGGAGGTCATCCTAGGATAGAAAAACAAAAAACAATGTAGGTAACATTTCAGGAAGTCCGTGTGCAAGAAGAAAGCAGAAGAAAGGACCTGCCACATGAGGAAGAGCCTTGTACTGGAGGCTGCTGAGGCTGTGTGAGTTCTCAAAGCACAGGCACAAGTAAGCAGCAGACTCACCTGTGTGAGTAACAGCCACCACCTGCCCTCCACCAATGCTGCAGACTCCATTTATTTCTATTCTTATTTTGTTTATAATTTCAACTTTTATTTTAGATCTGGGAGTGCACGTGTAGGTTTGTTACATGGGTATGTTGCTTGATGCTGAAGTCTGGGGTACAAATGGTCTTGTCACCCAGGTGCATAGTACCTGATAGGTAGTTTTTCAGCCCTTCTCCGCTCTCTTCCTCCCAGCTCTAGAAAGCCCCAGTGTCTGTTGTTCCTATCTTGATGTCCATCTGCAGGCAATGCTTAGCATTCCACTTATAAGTGAGAACATTTGGTATTTTCTGTTCCTGCTTTAATTCACTTTGGATAATGGCCTCCAGCTGCATCCATGTTGCTGCAAAGAACATGATTTTTTTTTCTTTGTATGGCTGTATAGTATTCCATGGTGTGTATGTACCACATTTTCCTTATCCATTCCACCATTGATGGGCACCTAGGTTGATTCCATGTCTTTGCTATTGTGATTAATGCTGTGATGAACATGCGTGTGTGTTTTTTTGTTTTCTTTTCCCTTGGGATACATACCCAGTAATGGGATTGCTGTGCTGAATGGTAACTCTGTTTTAAATTCTCTGGGGAATCTCCAAACTGCTTTCTACAGTGGATGAACTAATTTACATTCCACCAACAGTGTATAAGCGTTTCCTTTTCTCTGTACCCTCCCCAGCAATAGCCATTCTTACTGGTGTGAGATGGTCCCTCACTGTGGTTTTGATTTGCGTTTCTCTGATGATCGGTGATGTTGAGCATTTTCTCACGTTTGTTGGCTGTTTGCATGTCTTCTTTTGAAAAGTGTCTGTTCATATCTTCTGCCCACTTTTTAATGTGGTTATTTGGTTTTTGCCTTTTGAATTATTTAACTTCCTCATATATTAAGGATATTAGACCTTCACTGGGTGCATATTTTCTCTCATTCTGTAGGTTGCCTGTTTACACCATTGATAGTTTGTTTTGTGGTGCAGAAGCTCTTTAGTTTAATTAAGTCCCACTTGTCAATTTTTGTTTTTGTTGCAGTTGCCCTTGAGGACTTAGTCATAAATTCTTTCCCAGGATCAATATCCAGAATGGTGTTTTCTAGAGTTTCTCAAGGACTCTCATAGTTCAGGGTCTTCATTTAAATCTCAAATCCATCTTGCATGTATGCTCCTCAGGGATGTCGGCCTGTAGTTTTCTTTTTTGTTGTGTCTTTGCCAGGTTTTGGTAACAGAGTGAAGCTGGCTTTGCAGAATGAGTTAAAGAGGAGTCCCTACTCCTTGATTTTTCAGAACAGTTTCAGTAGAATTGGTATCAGCTCTTCTTTGTGTGTCTGGTGGAAGCTGGCTGTGAATCCATCAGATTTCATTTAGAGGCAAGGGAGAGGATGCTTCCTAAGAATGAGAAGGCAAAGATATTACTAAAAAAGTTTATGTGGTTCATTAGAGGAAAAAAATATTATAAAAAGGAAAAGAACTGGCACAGTGGCTCATGCCTGTAATCCCAGCACTTTGGGAGGCCAAGGTGGGCCAATCATTTGAGGTCAAGAGTCCAAGATCAGCCTGATCAACAAGGGAAGACCCCACCTGTACCAAAAATACAAAAGTTAGCCAGACATGGTGGTGTGCACCTGTAGTCCCAGCTACTTGGGAGGCTAAGGCAGGAAAATTGCTTGAACCCAAGAGGTGGAGGTTGCAGTGAGCCGAGATCATGCCACTGTACTCCAGCCTGAGAACAGAGTAAGATTGTGTCTCAAAAAAATAAAAATTAAAAAGAATAAAACATAAATAAAGAAAATGAAAAAACTTATGTCTGGAGATGGCCACTTCAGACATGGGAAGAAGTTTCCTGTTGAGCTGGGCATCTGCTGAGTGTCAGGCATTGGAGAGGATCCAATTAATCCTCCCAGCAAACACCTCTTGGTGCACCTGCCCTGCTCTGTGCCATCAGAAAGGATGGGAGGGGGATGCCATGTGGATCCATGAACACTCTCCAATGCCCCGCTCTCAGCCAGTGCAGGAGAGACAGCAGGCCTGCTCTTCTCAGTGGCTGATGGGTTCCTTCCCTTTGTAGTGACTTTCCTGTGATAACATGTTTCCATGAGGCCAGGCCCCAGGGCCAAGGTCCCAAGGACTGAGTCTATGTGCCTGATGATGTGGTTGCCCAGCATCCCACTGTCCCTGCTTAGCCTGGCATCTCCTGCTCTACAGCCAGTTAGCTGCTGCTGTGCAACAGCCGTCCCCAAATGCAGAGGGGGTGTGCTTCCTCCTGAGTCAGAGGTTTGGCTGGGCTCAGCTGTACCCAGCTGGCTCTGCTCCATGTGCCTCTCATCCTCCTGGGACCAGTGGGCTGGCCAGGTGTGTCTGTCTCATGACGATACAGGAGTGCAGCAGACAGGAGCACACAGCCTCTCCCACCCCAGCTGGGAACTTGCATTTCATCACCTCTGCTGCCTCTTTTTCTAGTCACAGTTCCAGAGGATTGAGGGAAGGGGAAACAGACACCACCTCTTGGTGGCCAGAGCAAGCATGGGGAAGGAGTAATTTGTAGCCATGGTGAATTCCAAGGCTGTTTTTAATCTAACACAGCCTCTCCTGAGCGGAAGTGCAGATTCACATGGAGCGGGTGTGGATACAGAGTTGCTGACAAGCTCAGCCACAGAGGTGAGTGGCCGTGCCTACTGCCCTCCTGTCTGGCCACCCTCATGCTTTCCCTGAATCCAGTAAGGCATTTGAAACTTCCCTCCAAACTGGAACCTTGCCCACCTCTGATACAATAGACGCTCCTTCAGGTCGTTCCTACCCACCTCACAGATGGAGAGGCAGTCTCAAATTTGAAGTGACTTGCTGAGAGTTGCCCAGTGAGCGCGTGGCTAAGCTGGGATTTGAGCACAGTCTGGGGGTTCCAAAGTTTGCCCCCTCTGCAATAGCAAAATGACCCAGAGTAGCATCCACGGGACTATTGCTCCTTGTGGGGTGAACTATCACCCATGGGACAAGGTGTGACCACCAGCCAAGCCCCCTTCCCAGAGGGCACTGGGCAGAACCTCGGAGCCTCATCTTGGCTCCAGAGATGGAGCCCCAGGCTGTGAGCATTGGAGGCCATGTGAGGACATGTTGGTGCCACTGGGGTCGGCATTACCATGCCTCACCCCACCTCAGCTGCCACACTTCTGCCATGGCGCAGCTTTTGGTGGCATTGTGACTGTCAATGTGCACTGCCCTACCCTGCATCTCTCCAGGGGACCAGGGCTAAGGTCTGTTTTTTTCTGTCCTCTGATGCCTGCATGGGCTGGTGAGGCAGGAGAGGAGCTTGCTGTGGACCACAAACAGGAAGTACAGAGCTACATGGCCAGGGGAGGGACCCAGAGGTGGACCTATTTGAGGACAGGGAGCAGAGGACACCATGTAACCAAGTTGTCCAGCTGCACACAGTGAAAGGGCTGACCTGTCCTCTGCCCACTTCGTGGGCTCCCTGAATTCTACTGCCCCCTCTCCAGCCCTTCCAGACCCCACCTCACCCCACCTCCAGGTTTCTCCTGCATCCCATTCAGAACTGCCACTCCTTAGTGGGACCCAGGACTGTGGCAGGCTTGCTGTGCGTGGGGAGGGGAGCGAACAAGGCACATAGGTCCTGTCTCAGACCTATGGAGCTCACGGTCCTGCAAAAGGTCAGGCAGTGGACAGGCCAGGCAGATGACACATTCCTCTTAGTGCACGGGGGCCATGTAACACAGCCTCAGGGGAGAAAGAGACATAGAGGGCTTTCCCGAGGAGGAGCTTTAGTGCAGGCTGGGGCAGGGGTGTGGAGTGTGTAGCCAGACCCCTAGTTATGTCCCTCAAAAGCTGTGTGGTCTGGAGCTAGCTACCGACCCTCTCTGAGCCTCGGTTCTGTGAGGCTGCTGTTCACCTTCATAGAGTCACTGTGAGGATGATCTGGGAGGATACATTTTGCGGGAGCACATGTTGAAGCCACACAGTGGGAACAGGGGTCCCGGCAGAGGCAGCAGCATGTACAGGTGCTGCTAGGGGCAGGGAATGCTGTGAGGGGCTCTGGGCTGGAGGCTGGGCTAAATCCCTTCTCCGGGGCTCCCAGCCTGCGGGAGTGTGGTGGTCACTTCACAGAAGCAGGAGGGACCCCACCGCAGATCTGCTTTGAAGGTGGAGGCCGACGGCTCCTCCTGCTCACCAAGAGGACAGGGCAAGCCCTGCTGCTCCACGTGGGGCTTTGTGGGGAGAGCAGCACAGGCTCCCAAGCTGGACTGAAAACAGCCCGAGACATGAGCAGTAGAGGAGACGGGTGTGGGTTCTGTTGCGAGGACTCCAGGCTGACATGAGGAGCCCCCTGTCTGGGCCCCGGAGCAGGTGCAGGGAGTGTCTGCCTCTCCCAGAGGGGAGCAGGTGGCCAGGGAGCCTGCCCCAGTGGGTGGGGTACTCATCTGTCTGGCAGAGGAGGAGGAGGAGCACCAAGGGCAGGACTATGTCCCCCATGTGGGGGCTGCAGAGGATTGAGTTGGGAAGAGCAAGCATTCAGGAGCAGCTGGAAATGGCACCAGGAGGGACCAGATAGCAGGTGACAGTGGGTCCCATGTGCCAGGCTGGGAGGCCAATGTCTTGCTGGGGGCAGGGGCAGCCATGGGAGGAGGGTGTCAGAGCAAGGCTGTGGGGAGAGTGC